TTAAGTCACGTGCAGATTACGTTACAAGTAATTTGATTTGATTTTGTGTCATTTGAGTATTTGAGTCATTTGATAGATGGAAGTCACGTGACAAACGATCTTTACCGCTCACCAACGGCACGCGTAGCTCTCACGCTTGGTGGCCCATTTCTCTCTCGTAGCCAATCCAATATTTTAATAATTAACTGTTTTTTTTTTTTTCGTTCCTACGCGTGTTTATAACGTTCGAATACCGAACTAAACCGGATAATCAAATTAACCGATATGGATCTACGTAATTAATACGAGTTGAAACAAAATTGAAATTCAAAATGGTGATAATAACTTAAAATCAATATCATATGATTTAATCACTAAATGAAATGATACTGCATTTAAACATAACGTATCGTTTGAAAATTTGAAATGATTACTATCCGTGGTGGTTAATGGAGCATTGTTAACCGGTTTTCGGTATAACAAAACCGGGACATTAGGAACCGTGCAAGCTGAGAAGAAGAATAATTACCCGTAAGGAAAAGAGAAAAGAAAACGAAAAGACTCAAACTTTGAGAAAACATCTTCATTCTTATTCCTCCATCAAAAGCTTCCTTTTATCCTCGTTTTTTTCAATTCGCGTGAAGAGAGAAACAAAAAAAAGCAAGAGAGAATCAACATTCCATTACGAATTTTTTGTTCCAGATCGTGAGGAAGAAGGAAAATGAGTACTGGGCTTTTCTGGTTTTTCCTTGTTTCAGACCTAATTTCATAGAATTTGATCTTTCTCAATCTCTGATATTCCTTTTCGGGGAGATTCTTTCTGGGTTTGTGCTGATGATTCCGGTGGATTAGAAGGGTTTTCTTTAGCCCACCAATTTGTTTCCTTTTTTTGTTTTTTGAAAGAGGGTAAATTTCCTGTTTTTTTTGTTAAGTCGGTTTGGGGTTGAGATTATTGTAGTTAGGGTTTTGGAATCTGAAATCGTGATTATCGATGGAGTCTCGTGTGGGAAACAAGTTTCGGCTTGGCCGGAAAATCGGAAGCGGTTCGTTTGGGGAGATCTATCTCGGTTCGTCTTCTCTCAATTGATTCACTTTCTTGAAGTTTTTATTTGGGTTTGAAATTCGAGCATTTTTAAAATCCCTAATATTATTGTGATTGGATTTTGGTTTCTTTAGGTACTCATATTCAAACGAATGAAGAAGTCGCAATCAAGCTTGTGAG